AGTGCACGCATCCTATAGCAAAAACCTCTCCAATAAATAAATAAAAAGGAATTATTTATTTATCTAATCCCATTATTATTATTTTTTGTTTGTTTTCCTTTAATTTGACCAGAGTGAGAGAGAGGGAGAGACAGGAAGGGTAAGGGAGAAAGCAAGCTGCCAGATCCAGGACTTGAACTGCGGTCGGCCATGTGGAAATTCAGTGCCTTTAACCACCACGCCATCCACCAACCCCAAAGTATAATGTTCCAAAAATCAAAACCATCACTTGAGTCAGCTGTGGCATGGAGATTAAGGCAACTGGCTCCCATATAGCCACTTATGGTTCAAGTCCTGGACCTGGTGGTTTGGAAAACATGCCAGGCACATTGTGTGTGCATGCCCAAAATCCTGAAAGGAGGGAGAAATGGAATGGGGATTGCAGTGTGACCATTCTCCATGGGGGTGGGAGGGGTGCTTTCTCATTTTCTCTATCTCTCTTGTCTCTTTCTCTGCCTCTCTTGGGAGAGCACACTTGGACTCTGGCAAAAGTCAAAAAAAATCATAATAAAAACATGACTTATGCAGATATAAAATAAAAACTTATCAAAGATTCTATTCAATTAGTTAATGAGGGACTCAGTAAGCTGTTGACTTCAAAGGAGAACTAATAACATATTAAAGTTCAAAGAACAGTTAGAAGTTGGGAACGAAGAAAGAATTTGCTAATAGACGTCAAACTGGTTAAGTAGTTAATAGCACATAGGACAAAATAAAAATTCTGGGTTTCTCTTCATTTTTTACCTGACAGAAGTCACTTATATTTCTACTGGTCAACATTCATTTTCATTGTTATGAACAAGAATATTTTGCCTTATTAATTTTCTTTCATTTATTTTTTAATAGTTTTTTTTTTTTTTTTTTTTGGAGAGATTTTCGCTATAGGGCATGTGTGCTCGCCAGACAGACAGAGACATAGAGACAGAAAGTGAGAAATCACCCCCCAGGGGGGATGGTCACACCACAATCCCTTCTCCTCCATTCTCCTCTCGGGATCTTGGGCATGCACGCACACGCGCCTGGTGTGAGTTTTAAGCCACCGGGTCCGGGATGTGAACCACGGTCGACTACATGGGAGTCCAGTGACATAGCCATTACACTAACTGCTGGCCGCCTTTTAATAGGTTTTTTGCCATAAGGTACATACTCTTGCCAGACAGGAGTGATAAATCCCCCCCCCCGCCCCCAGGGTGGATGGCCATGCCACAGTTCCTTTTTCTTCATTTTGATCTTGGGATTCTGGCACCCATACACATGCACCAAGCCCCAAGCCACTGGGTCAGGAGCCTTATGTTTTCTTCCAGTCTATTTTTTTTTTCAGAATTATTTTATTTAACTTTATTTATTTAAATTTGACCAGAGAGGGACAGAGCAAGAGTGAGAGAGAGGGAGAAAGTGAGAAAGCAAGTCACCAGGTCCGGGACTTGAACCATGGTCAGCCATGTGGAAGTCCAGTGCCCTTAACCATTATGCCACCTGCCAGCCCCTTTTCAGTTAACTTTTGTCCCTACAGAGTTGTAAACTAGCTGAGTCAACAGGAAGTTCATGGAAGGGAAGGTCAAAAAATTTCAAACTCTGAATCTATAAAGAACAAAGGGTTTATTTGAGGTCTTTAGGACTTATAACCCATGAAACATAGATTCAGGTACATGTGAAGTATTCGGAGGAGCTGAGTAGGAGGTTGGTTTCTTTCTTTTTTTGATAATTAAAAATGATTTATTTAATTGTATTTATCATTATTATAATTTTTGGTTTGCTACAGGGCACATGTGCTCACGAAAGAGAGAGAGAGAGAGAGAGAGAGAGAGAGAACCAGCTCTGGGACTGGAAACAGTCACCCATATGGGAGTCTAGCACCTTAACCACACCACCTGCTGGCCCTGACGTTGATTTCTTAGAGGAGAGCTGAAGCACAGAAAGTGGGTTGGCAACCTCAAAGTTGCTTTCCTTGTAAGGTTTAAGGCAGAGGGACTTCCTTACTTTGCTGACTCAAGTAGATTGGAATATCCTGTTTTTAGGAAAAACTGGTCTATTTTGGGATCTATCTGCTTCCTTAAGTTTCAGTTGGATGATTTGGCATTTTAGCACAAGTGACTCCATTTTGATCTGGCTTGTTGGGGCCTACTGCAGGAACTTAATAAAGCTAATGACTTCCTATAATTTTTATTTATCAGTGTGCTACAGTATAGAATCTGAAAGTCCCCAGGTCTACTCGATAGGATACAGCACCTCACTGAAAGGATAGCCAGAGATCTCTTTTGCCCATTTCCCAAGTTTTGGACAATTTTTACTGATACCACCAATTACAAACAATATGTTTACATATTATATATATATTTCAATCTATTTTACAGGGATAATGGTAAGGATGGAGAGGTATAAGTTGGTTTAAAAATGTCTTGACTATGTATTTGTTAAAATAGTTACATGATTTCAAAGTTCATAGGAAGCTGGGCTTAATAAAAATCTAATTTTCAAGAAAGTCTACTGGGGGACCAGCAGTTTGCCTAAAGGCTATGTTGCTGGACTCCCATGGAGTCTACCACAGTTCAAGTCCTGGACCTGGTGGCTTAAACTCACGCCAGGCGTGTTGTGTGTGCGTGCCCAAGATCCCGAAAGGAGAATGGAGAAGGGACTGCGGTGTGGCTATCCCCCCCCCCCGGGGGGGGGTGATTTCTTGCTTTCTGTCTCTCTCTGTCTCTCCAACTAGTGCACACGCCCTACAGCAAAAAAACCTCTCCAAAAAAGAAAAAAGTAAAAAGAAAAAAAGAAAGCCTACTAGGAAAGAGCCTAGGAAGCTTATTTTTAACTACTTCTTGTTAAGGCTGACAAGTTTAGCCCTATATGGGTGTGCTTGCCTGTGGTTAGATTTAGGTCAGCCTCATGGTAGAGACAGAGAACAAGTGAGGATATGGGGGGGCCGCTCTTGCACACCCAGACACCACAAACTAACGCCTTCGCAGTGGATCTTGTTTTTCTCTGTATGTCCTCTTGTTACCCCAACAAACAACTTGCTTTGAATTCTCAGTGTCTTCCACCATTATCCACACAGTTGCCCACACCGGAAATCTAACTTCTCTCTTCCTCCACATTCTGATGGATTCTTCCTCTTTAAACACCACTCTCATTTCCATTCCTCTCCATGGATGTTTGTCAATACCCTACTCCAGGGCGTCTTGCATTGCCTGGATTCCGGCAGCAGATCCAGGCAGGACTGGCATCCCCCACCCCCCAGTCCCAGTCCCACAGAGCAGTTGCGGAGCGCCTTCCACCCCCCACCCCCCAGAATCTGTTTACACCTGCAACCCGACTCTTCTGCACCCGCCTCGCCCCACTCTAAGGTGGCCTCCCTCGCCGTTTCTAGAAGACAGTATCTCTATCTCCCCCGACACACACACACACACACACACGTCTCTCTGACCGCTCGGATCCCCCATCCACTCAGGTCTTGGCTTACTTTTTCACTGACTTCCCAAACTTGGAGCGGCCGAACTCCTGCCAGGCCCTCCCTAGGCACAGCTCTACTCTCGCTGCAGTCACTTGGTGCTTCTGTGGACCGAGGAGGCCTGGGCCAGTGCTTCCCGCCCTACCTCGCGGTGGAGCTGCAGCCCCCTCCTCCCAGCCTCTTCCACGTCCTGCGCCCCCCACCCCCAGTGCTCCCCGAGCCCTTGCGTTTCCTCGCGGACTTGGCCCAGGTCTCAGCGTGCGCTGTCATTATCTGAGTGTAAGCGGCCCAAGGGCCGGCCTGGCCCCGCGCTGGCTGCGCCTGGCACGCAGCAGGGCGCGAGCAGTGAAGGAGCTGGGCGAATGAATGAAGGAATGAATGATCACGCGCGTCCCCGACGCCCACCCGGCCTGTGGGGAAAGACCCGCACCCCGCGGCCTC